CACACACACACACACACACACACACACACACACACACATGCACATACACACAACCTATCTGATATTCAATTAGTCTCTATTACTTCTCCATGCTTAAATTATCCTCTATCCAGCTCTCTTTCTTCATGCTCATCTATTCCGCAAAAGTCCAGTCTATCTAGCTATATATACACCCATCATACCCATATATCACACGGGTCTGTGAATAGTGGTATTCTATTTGAGTCCAGTACGACGTCAAACCTACGTATGACTATAAGAAGCGATGTTAGTTGCAATCCACTTTTAGCACTGTCAGCACAGCAGACAGACAGATGAAGTATTTGTGAGACGTGCTGACAAAATGAGTTACTTCTCGCAATCCTCAAACGAGAGATATTGGCCAAAAATCGACACTAGGGTCAAACGTGTAGATTCTCAATTGATGCCATATTCTTTATTTATAACCTGTCTTTTATTATTTCACACCTATAAACTGTAAAAACTTCACCTATAAGCATGATGTATATATTTTATTAAGCTCGAATCTGAGAAGTAACTCATTTTGTCAACACACTGCTCATTTGTAAAGCTAAAAATATTTTTTCTATAAAATGGCAGACCTGTAGCTGTCTAGAAAATGAGTTAGCCACTTCTGTCTTTATTCAAACTACTGAGATAGGATCTCTATCTCTGACGTCTTATGACCAAAAAAAACCCAACGCATCTGCTTAATTAGGTCAAGTAGTGTTCTTATACAGGGGAGAAACCCCTTTTCATGGCGCGTCTTTCTATCTTGGTTTTATGGCTGTACAATCAACATTAAAGACGTTTTTGGCTTTTGAAAATGTGCGTCGTTGTGACCCAATTACATATATGGGTATTATTGTCATGACCGAAGTAATTTCTGTATAATCAATTACTCCATAACGATTTACTTTATACCTCAGAAAATCAGACAAAAGTTACACCAGTCAATGAAGTTTGACATAAAATAATCAGATCGTCCAAACTTTAGTTAAGTTGAAATACACAAAAGGCTCGTTTTTTTTTTTTTTTTTTGTTTTATTTTAATTTTTAATTTTTGTTTGGTACTTTTTTTTTTCTTTTTTTTTTTTTTATTCTTTTTTTTTTTGGGGGGGGTGCCTCTCATGAAAAATGCTCCGTGATATTCTCGTGGTTCAAATCCTCGAAATAGACGACAATCTTCAAGAAAGATGCTCTGCGGGAGATTAAAAAGGAAATTGAAATTTTAATAGCTTCTTGTTAACGTTCTGTGATCGACACACGTGAGTATGTCTGTCAAAAATATTATTAAGTTAATATTCCCCAGTAGTCTATATACGAGAGTTTATTGTCAAAGTAACAATTACAATTTGTTAGAAGCATGCAACTCCACCCCGGCTAAACAAATGCACACACAAACACACATACATACACATACACACATAAACACATGCATACAAACACACACCCACACAAACGGCCGCACACACACACGCAAACACACACACACACACACACACACACACACACACACACACACCCCGCAATCATTGACTCATTAATTACTTGGACATAATCTTTTATCCGTACCATTACGTGGGAAAAGAAGCTATCACATTTTGTGCGGAGTCGATGATGAATTGGCTGAGGTGTTTTGTGGCTTTACGTTCAGAAGATAATAACAAACATAATACAGCAGGATTTAAGCCCCTTCTGCTTTAAGACAGTAACTTATTTAAAGTCCTCTTTTTTGGAAATAGAGCACATTATGTGACGTCACCGTGAACTCAGCGGTTGCTATGGTAAGAGATCCCAATGACGTCATTGGGTAAAATTATGGCTCGACAGTCTCGTAATCGCGTCAGTCCACGCAAAATTGCGTGGGTTTGTCCTATTGCGGTTAACCAGACAGAGATATAGCCCACTCATATGATCTACGTGTGAGGACAGGAATCTATCTAATCTACAGATAATAATTCTGCATGGGCAGCGAAGGGAGATTTGGTTTGTTTTAGCTGACTCTGTGATTTTATTGTTTCCAGCAGATTTTGCTTGTTTTATTTATGCAGTTACGTGCACCTGTTGTGAGGAATGTTGAAATATATGTAAATGTGCACGTGTGTGTGTGTGTGTGTTTGTGTGTGTGTGTGTGTGTGTGTGTGTGTGTGTGTGTGTGTGTGTGTGTGTGTGAGTGTGGGTGTGTGAGAGAGAGAGAAAGAGAGTGTGTATGTGAATGTGAATGTGAATGTGTGTGTGTGTGTGTGTGTGTGTGTGTGTGTGTGTGTGTGTCTTCGTCGTTTTTTTATGTTGTTGTTGTTTGTTTGTTTGTCTGTTTGTTTGTTCGTTTTGTGGGGTGGGGGGTGGGGGTGGTGGGGTCTTACTGAAGGTTTTGAATCAGGCTACCAAAGCTGTCTACGACATGACTTGTTTGATCTACGTAAGGATGGGAATCTGCAGTGTCCGCTGAAATCCAGCACTTCAATCAACTCCCGAACAGAAGTTTCTAATTGAAAGCAAAGCATAGCGGCCATGACATAGCACGGTTTAGGATATCACAATTATATAAGCCTATGGAATCAGCTTACGATTATACTTATAC